ATAGATAGATAGATAGATAGATAGATAGATAGATAGATAGATAGATAGATAGATAGATAGATAGATAGATAGATAGATAGATAGATAGATAGATAGATAGATAGATAGATAGATAGATAGATAGATAGATAGATAGATAGATAGATAGATAGATAGATAGATAGATAGATAGATAGATAGATAGATAGATAGATAGATAGATAGATAGATAGATAGATAGATAGATAGATAGATAGATAGATAGATAGTAGATAGATAGATAGATAGATAGATAGATAGATAGATAGATAGATAGATAGATAGATAGATAGATAGATAGCTCGCTCGCTCGCTCGCTCGCTCCTCGCTCGCCTTCGCTCGCTGCTCGCTCGCTCGCTCGCTCGCTCGCTCGCTCGCTCTCTCGCTCCACGCTCTCGCTCGTCGCTCGACTCGCTCGCATGCTCGCTGTAGCTTCCTCGCTCGCTGCTCGCTCGCTTCCTCGCTGCCGCTACGCTGCTCCGCTCCCTTATTTCCCCTCCCCTTTTTGCCCGTCCCCCCCTTTTATCCTTTTTGGCGCAGTTTCAGTATTTCTTCCCTTTCATCAATCTCAACAGGCACAGTATTACATATATCCACTACGAATGCTCGTATACCCAAGCGAGTCATGTGGAACGAATTGCCTATAAATCGTAAAACTATAATATTTACAACACATCGCACTTACGATTTACTAGGCTGTCGCATTGAATTGTTACCTATTGGTTTGGCTAGAAAAAGGTACCAAGACGCAACATAATATCTACAACTTATATTTAAATATTTAATTTATTTCAAGACACTTTAATCGCAAATATCCCATACAACTAATAATAAAGGATCCTAAAATAGCACCGGGCACTGAGGATGATGATATCGATAACAAACCTTTAAGACGTAGATTTAGTCGACAACGTAATAAGCGTGAAAAATCGGAAACAAAAGAATTAGCGGAAAATAGCAGCGGTAAATTAAATGATACTGAAACACAAACTCAAGAGTCGGGTGGAGAAATGGATTTTGGAGCCACCATATTAAATGCAGATGTAAGTTATTAGCTTTAAAAGGAAAAATTATATGATTTAATTATATTTCCTAACAGTTGCAGAAATTACAAGATGACGTAAATCCAGATGAGGATTTAAACAATATAACCGTACCATGTGGTGATGAAGTTCGTATATTATTATTTGCCAGATGTGCCAGAGAAAAAGAAGATTGGTATGTTAAATATACAAACACTTAATTGATTTTATTTAATATGTTTTAAATCTAATAGGTATAGACGTTTTGTAGCCGCTAGCTGTGGTGATGTCCATGATCAAGATTTACATTTGAGTAATGTAAAACTTATTAATTCTAAGGACTTGCAGGCGGCTGCTACTAAAGCGGCACAATTAATAACTAATCCTAAGGTAAATATGTCTATTCCTTGTTTATTATCCATTATATATTAGGAAATACAGGAAACAGGAAATTTTAATAATTTGAGTAATGTTGCCTTTATTGTTTTTTTTTTACAGCCTAAAGAGAATGTTGCTGGTTCTGGTAAATCTTCAGTATCTGAACAACAAAGAGAATCAACCTCATCGCTTAATTTTGAAGATTTAGTTGATGTAAGTTTTCGGGAGCACATTTTTTGTTGGTAATTTATATTAGTTATGTATTCTATTATTTCTTAGCTTTCTCCTGCTGTTCCCGAAAAAGAGGAAACGGAACGTGATGACGAATCTATTGAGTTTATGCCAGATGATGCTGAAACCATTGAGGGTCTTTTAATGTTAGCCAGCGCTGCTAGGAATGATGCAAATTATATTAAATTTATGGCTTTATATCAGGTATGTTGATGAGAATAAAAGTTGTGTTAGACGAATTAGAAAGAAATCGTTTTTCGTCTATAAATTGAATCAGACTTTTTCTACAGAAATATTCATTTGAAAGTCCATCAATTACTATTGAGTGACTTGATAAGTTGATCGTCTAAAAGTTTTGGCTTTTTAAAAATGTATTCTTTTTCATGTTTTCACATTTTTTCTTTTCTACTCTATAGTCTAGTCTACAGTCCGGTCTATAGTCTAGTCTATAGTCCAGTCTAAAGTCTAGTCTCTAGCCTAGTCTCTAGTCTAGTCTATAGCCTAGTCTATAGTCTAGTCTATAATCTAATCTAAAGTCTAGTCTATAGTCTAGTCTATAGTATAGTCTATAGTCTAGTCTATAGTCTAGTCTATAGACTAGTCTAGTCAATAGTCTAGTCTAGTCTATAGTCTAGTCTAGTCTGGTCTATAGTCTAGTCTATAGTCTAGTTTATAGGCTAGTCTATAGACTAGTCTATAGTCTAGTCTATAGTCTAGTCAAAAGTCTAGTCTATAGTCTAGTCTATAGTCTAGTCTATAGTCTAGTCTATAGTATCTGACTTTTGACTAGTCTAGTTTATAGTGTAGTCTATAGTATAGTCTATAGTATAGTCTATAGTATAGTCTATAGTATAGTCTATAGTCTAGTCTATAGTCTAGTCTATAGTCTAGTCTATAGTCTAGTCTATAGTCTAGTCTATAGTCTAGTCTATAGTATAGTCTATAGTATAGTCTATAGTCTAGTCTATAGTCTAGTCTATAGTCTAGTCTATAGTCTAGTCTATAGTCTAGTCTATAGTCTAGTCTATAGTCTAGTCTATAGTCTAGTCTATAGTCCTAGTCTATAGTCTAGTCTATAGTCTAGTCTATAGTCTAGTCTATAGTCTAGTCTATAGTCTAGCTATAGTCTAGTCTATAGTCTAGTCTAGTCTATAGTCTAGTCTATAGTCTAGTCTATAGTCTAGTCTATATAGTAGTCTAGTCTATAGTCTAGTCTATAGTCTAGTCTATAGTCTAGTCTATAGTCTAGTCTATAGTCTAGTCTATAGTCTAGTCTATAGTCTAGTCTATAGTCTAGTCTATAGTCTAGTCTAGTCTAGTCTATAGTCTAGTCTATAGTCTAGTCCAGCGGTTCCCACCGATTTTTACTTCGCGGACCCCTTGAAGAACTTATTTAATTTCGCGGACCCCCATACATATTTTGATATCTTATTGTTCTAAATAATTGTCCATCCGAAAATTGACCTAGTTCATTAATCCCTAGGTCTAATAAATGTAGAGATGTCATATCTATAAAATATTCCCGTACATTGAGAATATATAATATTTCAGATAGGTTTTCAATTGCATGTTTTGAAGATAGAATGACTTCTTTGTTGATATGTTAACATGATGTTTAATTTTATGATCGTGAGATCTTTCATGTTCATTTTTCTTCAAGGTAGCGAAAAGGTTTCTTTATCAAATATTGTCACATGTGCTTAAGGAGTCACGTTTCAAAAATTTGTTGCGATTGCAAAGGGTGAACTGAGTAAGTGAGCTAAGTTTTCGGGAAAATAATATAAGAAAGTTGGACTTCTTCTATGTTGTTGCGGAATGCGTTATCCGCATAATATATGATTTGAACTCTTTGTTAAAGTACTGTGAATTTGGAACTTAAATTTGAATTTTAAAATACCAACGAATTATTTTACTTCATGGTTTTTGGCTACATATTTACGCGAAACGCTACGGATTTTCTGATGTTAATTTAATAATATGTATTGGTCGACAAAATCAAGTTAAAATCTGTGTATCACGTCGGATTGGAATATTTATAAAGAGATGCATAAAGAGTCACCTCTGTTTTGGAAATATATAATTTTAGTCCTTTCAAACAAGAACACTTTTGCTTACAATTTGATAAACTTAAATCTGTAATAAGCTTGTCTTTGAATTGAACTTCATACTCCGGAATACCAGTATCCCTAATTTAATTGTAAGGCGGAGTATTATTTGTCTGAAATAAAAACCATTATTTCAGTACATATACAGGAAATAAAAATTACAAATCACGCAATACTTTACTTTATAAAAGTTATACAATAAATTTGTAGGGCCTAGCTTCTTCCTGATAAACAACCGAAAAAATAAAATTCAAAAAGTCACCAAAAAATTTGGGATTATTGCACAAAAATTGGAGATATTTGTACATACATATAAAAGCAGAATATTTTTATTCATGGTTTTTTTCGTTCGTCTTCGCGGACCCCCTAGGATTTTACTACGGACCACTAGGGGTCCGCGGACCCCCATTTGGGAACCGTTGGTCTAGTCTATAGTCTAGTCTAGTCTATAGTCTAGTCTAGTCAATAGTCTAGTCTAGTCAATAGTCTAGTCTATAGTCTAGTCTAGTCAATAGTCTAGTCTAGTCTAGTCTAGTCTAGTCTATAGTCTAGTCTAGTCTATAGTCTAGTCTGTAGTCTAGTCTATAGTCTAGTCTATAGTCTAGTTATAGGCTAGTCTATAGACTAGTCTATAGTCTAGTCTATAGTCTAGTCTATAGTATAGTCTATAGTCTAGTCTATAGTCTAGTCTATAGTCTAATCTATAGTCTAGTTTATAGTGTATTCTATAGTCTAGTCTTTAGTCTAGTTATAGTCTATAGTCTAGTCTATAGTCTAGTCTATAGTCTAGTCTAGTCTAGTCTATAGTCTAGTCTATAGTCTAGTCTATAGTCTAGTCTATAGTCTAGTCTATAGTCTAGTCTATAGTCTAGTCATAGTCTAGTCTATAGTCTAGTCTATAGTCTAGTCTATAGTCTAGTCTATAGTCTAGTCTATAGTCTAGTCTATAGTCTAGTCTATAGTCTAGTCTATAGTCTAGTCTATAGTCTAGTCTATAGTCTAGTCTATAGTCTAGTCTATAGTCTAGTCTATAGTCTAGTCTATAGTCTAGTCTATAGTCTAGTCTATAGTCTAGTCTATAGTCTAGTCTATAGTCTAGTCTATAGTCTAGTCTATAGTCTAGTCTATAGTCTAGTCTATAGTCTAGTCTATAGTCTAGTCTATAGTCTAGTCTATAGTCTAGTCTATAGTCTAGTCTATAGTCTAGTCTATAGTCTAGTCTATAGTCTAGTCTATAGTCTAGTCTATAGTCTAGTCTATAGTCTAGTCTATAGTCTAGTCTATAGTCTAGTCTATAGTCTAGTCTATAGTCTAGTCTATAGTCTAGTCTATAGTCTAGTCTGTAGTCTAGTCTATAGTCTAGTCTATAGTCTAGTCTATAGTCTAGTCTATAGTCTAGTCTATAGTCTAGTCTATAGTCTAGTCTATAGTCTAGTCTATAGTCTAGTCTATAGTCTAGTCTATAGTCTAGTCTATAGTCTAGTCTATAGTCTAGTCTATAGTCTAGTCTATAGTCTAGTCTATAGTCTAGTCTATAGTCTAGTCTATAGTCTAGTCTATAGTCTAGTCTATAGTCTAGTCTATAGTCTAGTCTATAGTCTAGTCTATAGTCTAGTCTATAGTCTAGTCTATAGTCTAGTCTATAGTCTAGTCTATAGTCTAGTCTATAGTCTAGTCTATAGTCTAGTCTATAGTCTAGTCTATAGTCTAGTCTATAGTCTAGTCTATAGTCTAGTCTATAGTCTAGTCTATAGTCTAGTCTATAGTCTAGTCTATAGTCTAGTCTATAGTCTAGTCTATAGTCTAGTCTATAGTCTAGTCTATAGTCTAGTCTATAGTCTAGTCTATAGTCTAGTCTATAGTCTAGTTCTAGTCTAGTCTATAGTCTAGTCTATAGTCTAGTCTATAGTCTAGTCTATAGTCTAGTCTATAGTCTAGTCTATAGTCTAGTCTATAGTCTAGTCTATAGTCTAGTCTATAGTCTAGTCTATAGTCTAGTCTATAGTCTAGTCTATAGTCTAGTCTATAGTCTAGTCTATAGTCTAGTCTCTATAGTCTAGTCTATAGTCTAGTCTATAGTCTAGTCTATAGTCTAGTCTATAGTCTAGTCTATAGTCTAGTCTATAGTCTAGTCTATAGTCTAGTCTATAGTCTAGTCTATAGTCTAGTCTATAGTCTAGTCTATAGTCTAGTCTATAGTCTAGTCTATAGTCTAGTCTATAGTCTAGTCTATAGTCTAGTCTATAGTCTAGTCTATAGTCTAGTCTATAGTCTAGTCTATAGTCTAGTCTATAGTCTAGTCTATAGTCTAGTCTATAGTCTAGTCTATAGTCTAGTCTATAGTCTAGTCTATAGTCTAGTCTATAGTCTAGTCTATAGTCTAGTCTATAGTCTAGTCTATAGTCTAGTCTATAGTCTAGTCTATAGTCTAGTCTATAGTCTAGTCTATAGTCTAGTCTATAGTCTAGTCTATAGTCTAGTCTATAGTCTAGTCTATAGTCTAGTCTATAGTCTAGTCTATAGTCTAGTCTATAGTCTAGTCTATAGTCTAGTCTATAGTCTAGTCTATAGTCTAGTCTATAGTCTAGTCTATAGTCTAGTCTATAGTCTAGTATAGTCTAGTCTATAGTCTAGTCTTAGTCTATAGTCTAGTCTATAGTCTAGTCTATAGTCTAGTCTATAGTCTAGTCTATAGTCTAGTCTATAGTCTAGTCTATAGTCTAGTCTATAGTCTAGTCTATAGTCTAGTCTATAGTCTAGTCTATAGTCTAGTCTATAGTCTAGTCTATAGTCTAGTCTATAGTCTAGTCTATAGTCTAGTCTATAGTCTAGTCTATAGTCTAGTCTATAGTCTAGTCTATAGTCTAGTCTATAGTCTAGTCTATAGTCTAGTCTATAGTCTAGTCTATAGTCTAGTCTATAGTCTAGTCTATAGTCTAGTCTATAGTCTAGTCTATAGTCTAGTCTATAGTCTAGTCTATAGTCTAGTCTATAGTCTAGTCTATAGTCTAGTCTATAGTCTAGTCTATAGTCTAGTCTATAGTCTAGTCTATAGTCTAGTCTCTAGTCTAGTCTAGTCTATAGTCTAGTCTATAGTCTAGTCTATAGTCTAGTCTATAGTCTAGTCTATAGTCTAGTCTATAGTCTAGTCTATAGTCTAGTCTATAGTCTAGTATATAGTATAGTTCTATAGTCTAGTCTATAGTCTAGTCTATCGTCTAGTCTATAGTCTAGTCTATAGTTATCTATAGTCTAGTCTATAGTATAGTCTTAGTCTAGTCTTAGTCTAGTCTATAGTTAGTCTATAGTCTAGTCTATAGTTCTAGTCTATAGGCTCGTCTATAGTCTAGTCTATAGTATAGTCTATCGTTCTTAGTCTATGTCTTAGTCTATTAGTCTAGTCTATCGTCTGTCTATAGTCTAGTCTATAGTCTGTATTATAGGGTAGTCTATAGTTCTAGTCTTAGTCAGTCTATAGTTAGTCTATAGTCTAGTCTATAGTCAGTCTATAGTCTAGTCTATAGTCTAGTCTATAGTATAGTCTATAGTCTAGTATATAGTCTAGTCTATAGTCTAGTCTATAGTCTAGGCTATCGTTCTAGTCTATAGTCTATCTATAGTTAGTCTATAGTCTGTCTATAGTCTAGTCTATAGTTATTCTATGTCTAGTCTATAGTCTAGTCTATAGTCTAGTATAGTCTAGTCATAAGTCTAGTATAGTCTAGTCTATAGTCTAGTCTATAGTCTAGTCTATAGTCTAGTCTATAGTCTAGTCTATAGTTATTTAGTCTATTAGTCTAGTCTATAGTCTAGTCTATAGTCTAGTCTATAGTCTAGTCTATAGTCTAGTCTAGTCTATAGTCTAGTCTATAGTCTAGTCTATAGTCTAGTCTATAGTCTAGTCTATAGTCTAGTCTATAGTCTAGTCTATAGTCTAGTCTATAGTCTAGTCTATAGTCTAGTCTATAGTCTAGTCTATAGTCTATTCTATAGTTTATTCTATGGTCTAGTTTTAATCTAGTCTATACTCTAGCGGAATATTAGTTTCAAAATTTAAATTTTGCATACCTGGTGAAGGGTATACAAGATTCCGCACAGCCGAATATAGAACGTTTATTTGTTTTTAATTTACATTTATAATATTATATTCTTTGTTTTGTTTAATTTTATTATTTTGACTTTGTTTTTTCGTATTTTTGTTTTTATTTCTTTTAGAAAGCTTGTAGACAATCGAAGATTCCAGTTTATAAAGGACAAATCTTTCATGATCCTCTAGACAAGAAAAGTGTATGTTTTTTAATTTATTACTTTTTTTAATTTAATATTTTTTTAATTTATTGTTTTTTTAATTTAATCATTACAAACATCAAATAATAAAACAAATTGAATCGATCGTTGAAGGGAAAGTGGATTTAAAATATTGTTTCGATTCCACGTTCTTTACTTTTTCATGCTTAAATTGTGACTTAAACAAATCCCTTTTTCAATTTTAGAACAAACGCACAGCTCGTCATGAAAATGAACTTTGGAAGGGCATAGATCAGTCGTTATTCTTGGGTCCTTCTGGCAGTGTGGTATGGGCTAATGTTTTAATAGGCCGCTTACTCTACAGCACCTTACAAAATGAACAAATTTTAGATAAAATACAGGATATCTTGCAAAAGAAATTGAATTCCATTAAGGTAAGTTAAATTTACAAAATTAGTAATAAAATATTAACAAATACAACACTTTTTCAGCTTCCCAGTTTCATGGAGGATGTGGTTATTAAAAATATCGACCTAGGCACAACTCCTCCCCTAATACATCGTGTCTCCCAGCCCATGCTAGATGAACGTGGCATTTGGTTAGATATGGATGTAACATATGAGGGTCATTGTCATATCACCGTAACGACAAAAATGAATTTGTTACGTCTTAAACGTCCAATGCGTACTCCTCTATTTGTTGATACAAAACTAGATGCCACCATACCAAATCCGCACATAGCAGCTTCTTTGAAAGATGAACTTTTGGCCGCCAATAAAGCCGCACGTGGAGGTGGTGTTAATGAAACGGAACTATTGATAGAAAGTGCTTTAACCGGCAGTGCTATATTTGATAGTGATGCTGAAAGTACTGGCAGTTCGAGTACGGAATCCGATAGTCCTATTGCTGGTACAATGGGTGAAAATCCGAATAGTGTTAGTGAAGGGTGAGTAGAGATGTTGAGATTTCAAAAAAAGTATACATATTTTTAATACATGTTCTTTTTGCTTAACAGCGCCACAAATCCGGGTAATGCTAGACGTATATTTAAATTTGTTGATCGCATTGCTACTTCCAATTTTTTCCAATCTGCAACGGAATTGTCTTTTGTACAAAAAGCCATGGAGAATATGAGTACTACCATAACATTAGGCATAGATTTAAGAGGTTTAGTTTCACGTGTCACAATAAATATACCTCCACCGCCCTCGGATAGAATATGGCTGGCGTAAGTTTAAGTCTAATGGTTTCCTATATAATGCTTAATGTTTATTTTCTATATTTTTATAGTTTTCGTGCTCCACCACGCCTTTGGCTAACGGCACGTCCTACAGTGGGTGACAAATCTGTTGATTGGAGCATTGTTACCAATGTTATTGAGGGTAAACTATGCGAGGCTGTTAATAAATATTTAGTATATCCCAATATGGTTGATTTAACTGTACCATTCTTGGGTAAATCTGCAGCTTCCGAATCATAAGAATTAAACGATTTTGATTTATATTTATTTGTGTTATTAGTCTATATGTTTGCCGTCTCTTTAAGGACAAAATTTACTATAACATTTTTTTATTATTACAATTATAATTATTATTACTATATAACTATATACAATTTATGTAAAATTTCTTTATAAATATTATTAAAGAAAAAAAAATAACAGAAAGAAATTGTTAACATATTTTTCTAACTAATACTCTCTAAAAACCAAATTGGAAACAAAAAAATAAACAAAAATAGTTAAACTATTTTAACACTTTTATTCCTTAAATATTCCCCCTTTTTAAGTATTAAACTAATTAACTAACAAATACATATACATACATATTTATATATTTAAATTGCAGACAACAGAAAAGACAGAAAAAAAAATTTTAAATTACTATTATAATTTAAAAAAAAAAAAAAAACAACAATACTTCTATATATTTTTTATACAATTATAATATTATAATTAACTATATCATTTTATTTTATATCTTAAATATAGAAAAACCAATTTATTTATACTTATATATTATTATAATTTTTTTATACCACTATACACTTAAAAGGTGTTGTAAGTTTTCTTTTTTATTTTTATAAATTTGTTTTCTTTTAAACAATAATAGTGATAACGTTTAATTTTTTTATTTTGTATCTGATAAACTTTTTATACTCAAAATTGTTTTTTTTTAATTTCGTTTTTTTGCCAGCGGCTTCATTGAAATAAACTTAATGTATTCCTATTGATATCATTTTTAAGAAAACAACTTATTCTTGTTTAAGATTATTTAAAAACTAAATAAATAAAGAAAAGCTAAGAAAAATATTTGTATTTGTTAATTTGTTAATAAAGCAAAGGTTGTAAAATGTGGATGATTGTTGTTGTTGCTGGGGTTGACAGCCCTTGACCGAATATTTCCGGTCATTTCCGATACGTAGAACCGGCTGTCGGGGTATGTCAACAACACTTTTTACCACCTGGACGAAGGAAGTAAACCCAACCCTACCGACCGTGCACCACCCAAAAATCTTGGGGGTTACATTTGATAGCCTATTTACTTCCTCAGCTCACGCCACTGCAATCACTAGTCTAGTCTGGTAGACCGGAGGTGGTGGGTTCGATTCCCACCTGAGGCACTGGTTAAGGTGCGCATAACAGGCCCAACAGAGGCCTAGGTGTATTTCTTCGGATTTGATGTATATATGTACATCCTCCTTTCAAGCTAACTAACTAACGATAAAACGATTGGTCGGTCACCTTCGCTGAGTGATACCCAGTTTAGAAACATTAAAAGCTGCCAAAATGCCGCCCTAAAGCCTGTAACGGGCACCTACAAATTACATCGGGTCCTCCTAATCATCGTAGGAGTCATCCCAACTTTAACATGACACAGTTAAATACTTCCCTGAGGCATGTCAGGAAGGATCTTCGTATATACGAGGAAAACATACGTAGTTATGTGCAGGATCCATTAGATCAGTCCTCAGACGCCATAAATTTCGCGGTCGCTGGATACTACATGAATGTCGTACTTGGAGGTTGTCCACCGCCCAATGATACCTACCATATATTCAACTGCTCAGCCAACCCTCCTACTTCACTCTGTACAATGGATTTGTGGACGTATCCAGTTGAAGTAGCCCAATTTTTAGGCCTGGACATTGATGTAGATTATGGTATAGTTTTAGCTGTTACAACAACAAGACTGGATGATAATCTTATCTATAGTCTTAACTTAGTCTATAGTAAGGACTATAGTTCGGTCTAGTCTGGACTGTCTAAAGTCTAGACTATGGATATGAAGTCTATGGTCTGCAACATAGTCTAGTCTATAATACAGTTTATAGTCATTAATACAGTCTGTATTACAATCTACTCTAGTCTATGGTCTTGTCTATAGTCTAGTCTGTTCAAGCGACTATTTTTTAGTATAGTCCATAGCCTGGAATACGATCTAAAATATATTCTTTATTATAGGCTTTAGTTTAGTCTTTAGTCTAGTCTATTGACTGAGCAGTAGTTTATTCCTTAGTATGGTCCATAGCCTAAACGCTAGACAATGTGGATTAGACTATAGTCCGGATTATAGACTTGAATAAAGTCCATACTATGTATATGCCAATTATTTAGCCTTTATATTAGATTCTAGACTATATTCCAGGCTATGGACTATACTATAGACTAGATTATAGCCCAGACTATAATATATATACTACACTAGACTACAGACCAGACTGTATACCAGACTAAACATTGAACTATAGTTCAAATTATAGACTAGGTTATAGACTATAAAGTCTGGGCTATAGTCTAGTCTATAATCTGAGATTTCAGTTTTATTCTAGTCTGAGCTATAATTTAGTGTTTAGTATATTACATAACCTGGAATACAGTTTACCTCTAATCTTGAGTCTAGACCATAGTCTAGTCTGGCTATAGTTAATTCTATAGCCTAAACTGCAGTCCAGACTTGAATCTATTATATATTTCAGAACTTTTTTAAGTTTTTATAATTATAATTAAACAATAAGATTTGTGTTTTAAAATTTGAATTTATTTCTGTATTTTGTAATTACCTTTATCGCAATTTGCTTTACTTAACTTTTTGCAAAAATTAAACTTTTTTTCATTTATTATCGAATTGATTTCCTGTCAAATGCTAATTTTAAGATAAACATTTTAAAACCAACATCTCCCAAGAAAACGAAAATGCATTTTGGTATATAAACCGAAATTATTTCAAACAAAAGAGCACAGCTTTGTAAACAATCACTTAACAAACATGGTAAGTTTATAAAATTAATAAAATATAAAAAAAAATTAAGATTTGTTAATAAATTAAAATTCTTTACAGCATTTTTCTCAATTATTTGTTATGGCTGCTGGCCTTTCTTTAATCTCCTGGACCTCGGGGGGTGGCATTGTTACTCGTGAATATTTACCAGCTGTAGACACTCAAAGATTTTTACACCACCACTATCCATCTTACTATCAGCAACAACACCAACAGCATCAACAATATTATCCATCATATGGTATTAATGGTGGTTATTATCCACAATATTCCAATGGTTTAGTTGGAGGTTTAACCAGTTCTTTGGGCTTGGGACCATCTTTGGGAAGTACTTTGGGTTTGGGCTCATCTTTGGGTTTAGGAGGTGGCTATTATAATAATCATTTAAATTACGGCTTAGTTAATCCATATAGACCCAAACCAAGAGTAGATGTTATTGAAACAGTCTATGATACAAATGGTGGTTATATTTATGGTAAGAAGAAATGAAGTTATTTATTGATGACAGAACATGGGTTTTAATGGAGGAGTTGAAATGAATTTGAAGAATTAGTTTGTTTAGATTTGAAATAAAAAATGTAATAATATTGAATAAAAATATAATTAATTTAATGCTCTGAAAATAACAAGTGCGAAAAGTTGTGTTTTAATTTAGAATTTTTATTACAAAAATACTGATTGTTGTTATTATCTTAAGTATACCTCTATTTGAATTGACTTTAAACGATGTTTAAAAAGCCTGGTGGTGTTCCCACCATGATGATAGATGCTGACTCACCATCATTAGCCAAAACGGTATATAATCCAGGCATTAAAGAACCAAGAACTAAAAATGGTAAGAAATAATGAAATTTTTCTTATAAAAATAATTTTATGATATTTTACCTTTTCTCTTAAAAAGGTATTTATGTGACCAATGCCTCAGGTAAACCATATACCTCTATGATCACCATGGTCCCAAGTGTTTCCAATGGATCCATTGTAGAGTCTGTGACACGCTTACCTTTAAAATTTAGTTTTAAAAAACCTCGAACTTAAATTTTATCGTGATATTAGTGTTTATAATTAAATTTTGACCTTCAAGTCAATTTCTGAAGGGGACTTTGTATGGGGACTAGGGTCAAATGAGTACCGATCATTATTAAAATCGGCAGTATCATTTATACTTATATAAAACTAAGCCTTACCGATTTTAGTAGAAATACAAGAACCTTTAATATAATTATGAGCTCAAAAGCTCTATTCGGGTGGTACGGTTGTATGGGGCCGAAATACTAGACCGATTTTAACTATTTTTAGTAATAGGCTTTGTCCTTGGGTCAAAAGAAGAGTATGTGTCAAATTATTTTGAAAATTGCCACCTGTATAGAGCGTACAAGGTTTACATGGACACACAGACAGGCGGTCATAGTTTATAGTCTGAATCTAGACTTGCTTATAGTCTGAAATATAATTTGGTCTAAAGCCTGGCCAATAGGCTAGTCTATAGTCTGTAATAAGGTTCAGTTTATAGTCTTGACTATAGTCTAGACTATAGTAGTCAAGTCTATTGTCTGAGCTATAATAACAGATTAGTATAGCCCACAGCCTGGAATATAACCTAAAATCTAATCTAAACCATTATAAAGTCTATAGTCTTTATTACATTAGACTATATTCCAGTCAAATGTCTAGATTATACTCTTGTCTAAAGTAGCCTGGACTATAGTGTAATTCATAATGTGGACAATAGCATAATCTATTCTACAGTCTAGACTATAGTCCAGTGGATAGTCTGGAATAAGATCCAATTTATAGTCTGAACTATGATCTAGATTACAGTCTGCACTAAAGTTTAGTCTATAATCCGAATTATAGTTTAGACATTAGTATATCCCAGAGCCTAGAATATAGTCTATAATCTAATCTAAAGTCTATACTACACCGTAGTCTAAAGTCTGGGTCATAATGTGTCCAATAGGATAATCTAGTCAATAGTACAATTTATAGTCTACCTATAATATAGTCTATATTCTGAACTATAGTTCAGTCTGTAGTCTCAGCTACAGTATAGTCTATAGAATGACCTTTAGTATACATAGTTCATAGTCCTGAATATAGTTTACAATCTTATCCAAAGTTTAGATCATAATTTAGTCTATAGTCGGGACTACATTATAGTATATTTAGATTATAGTTTTGTCTTTAGTCTGAACTATTGCCTAATTAATATATAATCTAATGCATAGTTTGTATCTATATCTATAGTCTTTCTGATATATAGTCTTTTCTGGGCTATAGTTTAGTCTTAAGACTGGATTATAGTCTAATCCATAGTTGATAATCTAATCTAGTCTAGACGAAAATTATTCTATAGTTTAGACTAAAGTCTCTAGGTTGGACTATATTCTGGTTTAATCTATAGTCTGGTCTATTGTTTAGCCTATAGTCCTAACTGGCCATATATACTAGAAACCCGACCATAGTCCAGAATTTTTGAAACTTTTATATTGATTATTTATATTTAACTTTGTGTTATGATTTAACTTATTTCGGCATTTTATACTTACCTTATCGCAATTTCATTTACTTAAGTTATTTTAAAAATTAAACTTTTTTCATTTATTATCGAATTGATTTCCTGTCAAATGCAAATTTTAAGATAAACATTTTAAAACAAACATCTTTAAAGAAAACGACAATGTATTTTATATATAAACCGAAATTATTTCAAACAAAACAGCACAGTTTTCTAAACAATCACTTAATAAAAATGGTGAGTTTTTGAAATTAATAAAATATTAAGATTTGTTAATAAAATTAAATTTTTTACAGCATTTTTCTCAGTTATTTCTTATGGCTGCTGGTCTTTCTCTAATCTCCTGGGTTTTCGGGGAAGACATTGTCAGTCGTGAATATTTACCAGCTGTAGCCACTCAAAGATTTATACACACACACTATCCCTCATATTATCAGCAACTTCAACACAATTATCCATCGTATAATAGTGGCGGTTATTATCTACAATATCCTAATGGTTTGGTAGGTGGTCTCACAAGTTCTTTGGGTTTGGGATCGTCTTTGGGTCTAGGTTCTTCTTTGGGTGTAGGAGGCGGTTATTATCCGAATTTAAATTTTGCTTTGATTAATCAATATAGACCCAAACCGAGGGTAGATGTTATTGATACAATCTGTGATGCAAATGGTGGTTATATTTATGGTAAGAAGAAGTGAAGGTATTATTTATTGATGACAGAAAATGGATTTTATTGAAGATGTTGAATTGAATTTGAAGAATTAGTTTGTTTAGATTTGAAATTAAAAATTAAGTAGTTTTAAATTAATATTGAATAAAATGTAATTAATTAAAAGAACAAGGACTAAAAAAATTAGAGTTTATAATTTTTTTTTATAAAAAATACAAATGTTTATAGTCTAGTCTTTAGTCTGGACTCTAGTATAGTCAATAGTCTGGATTGTAGTTTAGTATAGGATATAGTCTGGGCTACAGTCTAGGCTATAGTCTGAACTCTAGTCTATAGCCTGAACTCTAATCTAGTAAATAATGTGCAATACATATAGTCTTGTTTACAGGTTGGACCCCAATCTATGGACAGTACTATAGGCAAGTCTATAATATGGGATACTATCTAGACCACAGACTAGACTGCTGACTACAGACTAGACTATAGACTAGTTTGTAGACTAGACTATAGACTAGACTATAGACTAGACTATAGACTAGACTATAGACTAGACTATAGACTAGACTATAGACTAGACTATAGACTAGACTATAGACTAGACTATAGACTAGACTATAGACTAGACTATAGACTAGACTATAGACTAGACTATAGACTAGACTATAGACTAGACTATAGACTAGACTATAGACTAGACATAGACTAACTATAGACTAGACTATAGACTAGACTATAGACTAGACTATAGACTAGACTATAGACTAGACATATAGACTAGACTATAGACTAGACTATAGACTAGACTATAGACTAGACTATAGACTAGACTATAGACTAGACTATAGACTAGACTATAGACTTGTCAATAGTCTAGACTATAGCCTAGACTATACTATAGTGTAAGCTATAGATTACACTATAGACTAGACTATAGACTAAACTAGAGATTAGACATAGACTAGACTATAGACAAGACTATAGACTAGACTATAGACTAGACTAGGACTAGACTTAGACTAGACTAGACTATAGACTAGACTATTGACTTGACTATAGACTAGACTATAGACTAGACTATAGACTTGACTATAGAAGACTATAAACTGGACTATAAGACTATAGACTAGACTATACTATAGACTAGACCATAGACTAGACTATAGACTAGACTATAGACTAGACTATAGACTAGGCTATAGACTAGACTATAGACTAGACTATAGACTAGACTATAGACTAGACTACAGACTAGACTATATACTAGACTATAGACTAGAGTAAAGACTAGACTATAAACAAGACTATAGACTAGGCTATAGACTAGACTATAGACTAGACTATAGACTGGACTATAGACTAGACTATAGACTAGACTATAGACTAGACTATAGACTAGACTATAGACTAGACTATAGACTAGACTATAGACTAGACTATATACTAGACTATAGACTAGACTATAGACTAGACTATAGACTAGACTATAGACTAGACTATAGACTAGACTATAGACTAGACTATAGACTAGACTATAGACTAGACTATAGACTAGACTATAGACTAGACTATATACTAGACTATATACTAGACTATAGACTAGACTATAGACTAGACTATAGACTAGACTATAGACTAGACTATAGACTAGACTATAGACTAGACTATAGACTAGACTATAGACTAGACTATAGACTAGACTATAGACTAGACTATAGACTAGACTATAGACTAGACTATAGACTAGACTATAGACTAGACTATAGACTAGACTATAGACTAGACTATAGACTAGACTATAGACTAGACTACAGACTAGACTATATACTAGACTATAGACTAGAGTATAGACTAGACTATAAACTAGACTATAGACTAGACTATAGACTAGACTATAGACTAGACTATAGACTAGACTATAGACTAGACTATAGACTAGACTATAGACTGGACTATAGACTAGACTATAGACTAGACTATAGACTAGACTATAGACTAGACTATAGACTAGACTATAGACTAGACTATAGACTAGACTATAGACTAGACTAGACTAGACTATATACTAGACTATAGACTAGACTATAGACTAGACTATAGACTAGACTATAGACTAGACTATAGACTAGACTAGACTAGACTATAGACTAGACTAGACTAGACTATAGACTAGACTATAGACTACTAGACTAGACTATAGACTAGACTATAGACTAGACTAGACTAGACTAGACTAGACTATAGACTAGACTATAGACTAGACTAGACTATAGACTAGACTATAGACTAGACTAGACTATAGACTAGACTAGACTAGACTAGACTATAGACTAGACTATAGACTAGACTATATACTAGACTATAGAGTAGACTATAGACTAGACTATAGACTAGACTATAGACTAGACTATAGACTAGACTATAGACTAGACTAGTCACAATATAGACTCTACTACAGTGCAGACTATAAACAAGATTACGATCCAGGCTATAGACTATAGATACGACTATAGTCCAACTATAATCCAAACTACAGGCTAGATCGCAGTAATAGTAGTTTGTCCACATAGTAGTCAATATATCAGTCTAGGTTCTAGAATAGTTAATAGTATTGGCTATAGTCTATTCTAGTCTAGTCTATAGACTAGACTATAGAGTAGACTATACACTAGAGTATAGACTAGACTATAGACTAGAGTATAGACTAGACTATAGACTAGACTATAGACTAGACTATAGATTAGACTATAGACTAGACGTTAGAATAGACTATAGGCTAGACTATAAACTATAGACTAGACTATTCTAGAACCTAGACTGGTATATTGACTACTATGTGGACAAACTACTATTACTGCTATCTAGCCTGTAGTTTGCATTATAGTTGGACTATAGTCGCATCTATGGTCTAGCCTATAGCCTGGATCGTAATCTTGTTTATAGTCTGAACTGTAGTCGAGTCTATATTGTGACTCTGGAATACAGTCTAGTCTATATTCTGGACACTAGTCTACTTTATATTCTGGAATATAGTTTAGTTTATAGTGTTGACTATAACTTAGTCTATAGTTTGTACACTAGTCTAGTCTGGACTCTACTCTTAGTCAAGAGTCTAGAATATTGTCTAGCATATAGTCTGGAGTATAGTTTAGTATACAGTATTTACTCTCTAGTCTGATAGTCTGTACTCTAGTGAAGAGTCTAGTGGAAATGTTATAATAATTTTCATTTCTTTTTATTAATAACAAATTTAAATAAGAAAATCCATTTTATTTTAGGGTTTTTATTAACTAATCAATTAATTTATTAACTAAATTTTTCATTTTTAAAATTTATACATTCTTTTTAAAACTGATATGCTTTATAAGAGATAAAATGCTATAAAAAATTTTACATTTTATATCAATTTTAAATACATTACAAACTATTCAAACATATTCGTGTTTTTTTCTGTTGCAAATTTAATTCATCAAAAAGTAAAACAACTTAAAAATTAATAAAAAAAAAATTATAAAGAATTTTAACAATAAATTTGTTATTAAGATTTTTTTCTTCGTTTTAACAAACTAAACTAGAATTCAAATATCTTTCAAAGGTGTTCTGATAAATGGTTTTTAGTACTTTTTTACATTAAAAATTAATTAAAATTAAAAAAGTAAAAATAAACATTTAATTATATATAAAAGGTATACATATAAAAAAAATATATATATAAAACTTGTGATGTTTGAGAGTGGAAAATTGTTATAATACAAAACGAGCGTTTTAGCAAAAGAAATAAAAGAATAACAAAAAAATATATATAAAATATTTACTAAAACTTAGTAATGATTAAAAATAAGAAATAAAACTTAACGAAAAATAATGAATTTTTAGGTTTAAAAACGATAAAGAAAATTTGTTTGTTTTTATACAAATAAGAATAAAATTGGAATGTTTTTTGTTAACAAAACGATGTTTACTTTTAAAATATTAATTAAAAAAAGGACTAAACAGTAAACATTTAATTCTTTTAAGAAATTGTCACAATTTGTTAAAAAATTTCTTTAAAAGACAACAAGTCCTTTAGTAAACATTTCAAGTTATTAAATTATTATTGACTTTTGTTTTATAATTTGTTTAAATGGTCCTTGTTTCTACTAAGTAAATAATAAAACAATTAAAAAAAGATGATTTATTAGGGAAGATTTATGTTTACAGTCTCATGCCATGATATTTGGCAAAGGATTTGCAAAGGCAAAAGGCCAAGAAAATGGCCAATAGATGTACCACACCCACGCCGAATAAAACAGCAATTATTATTTCACGATGGGATATAATCCATTCGGTAAATACATCATAGCAGCCCTAAAATAATAAACAAATAAGAAGATATAAATAAAATCAAAAAGAAATTTAAAATTCCCACTAAAATACCTTTAAATAAAAACTATTTGTTTCATTGGGATTTGTCACACAACTGTCATCTTCGGGTAGTAAATTTTTAATATCCTTTAATCTGCAACAGGCCTCGGGTATGGTGTGATTACCTTTGCCATTCAACCAACCCGAAGAGGTTTCAAAATCACGATAATCCACAACGCCACAACAGCCAAAAGTGCTCATCATTTGATTCCACATAAGAGTAACAGCATCAGTGTGTTCAGCTGTTGTGTAGTATTTGGTAATGGTTGATTGTAGGAAACCTTTGCTTTCATTGCGTGCCTGTAACAGAGAATTTAAATGAATTTGCAATCAAGGGATTTTGTTTTTTAAAATTGCAATAATTACCGTTTCTTTATAAAATGCCGCCAAGCCACCAGCAACGATTTCAGCAATCAATAGTAAGATCATGAAAACGCCATACTGAAAAAAATACCAAAAGAAACAAATTCAGATTGATTTAATTAACTTAAAATTAGTTTAGTAATTACACCGGCCAACAAAACTTAAAAAAGAAGATTCGAAATCTAATACGACCTTAGAATGTTTACATCACATCAGGTTTTACAGATTTAATTTTTTCGCCATATTTGGGACGTTATAACCGAATGAAAACACAATTATTCATAAATCTTTATGTCAACTGAACGGCCAATCCATCGGCTTAAAAATAAAATCAATAGTCTCGACTTTAATTTAGGCTATAGTCTGAACCATAGTATATTCTATAGTTTGGACTATAGTTTAGTCTATAGTCTGGACTATAATTTAGTCTTATGTCTGGACTATAGTTTAGTCTTAAGTTAAGTGGACTATAGTTTAGTCTTAATTCTGGACTATAGTTTAGTCTATAGTCTGGACTATAGTATAGTCTATAGTTTGGACTATAGTTTACTCTATAGTTTGGACTACAGTTTAGTCTATTGACTGGACTATAGTTTAGTCTTATGTCTGGACTATAGTTTAGTCTTAAGTTAAGTGGACTATAGTTTAGTCTTAAGTCTGGACTATAGTTTAGTCTATAGTCTGGACTATAGTATAGTCTATAGTTTGGACTATAGTTTACTCTATAGTTTGGACTACAGTTTAGTCTAAAGTCTGGACTATAGTTTAGTCTATAGTCTCGACTATAGTTTAGTCTATAGTCTGGACTATAGTCTAAAGTCTGGACTATAGTTTAGTCTATAGTCTGGACTATAGTTTAGTCTATAGTCTGGACTATAGTTTAGTCTATAGTCTGGACTACAGTTTAGTCTATTGTCTGGACTATAATTTAGTCTATTGTCTGGACTATAGTTTAGACTAAATTCTGGACTATAGTTTAGTCTAAAAGTCTGGACTATAGTTTAGTCTATAGACTGGACTATAGTTTAGTCTTATGTCTGGACTATAGTTTAGTCTTAAGTTAAGTGGACTATAGTTTAGTCTATAGTCTGGACTACAGTTTAGTCTATTGTCTGGACTATAGTTTAGTCTATTGTCTGGAGTATAGTTTAGTCTAAAGTCTGGACTATAGTTTAGTCTATAGTCTGGAATATAGTTTAGTCTATAGTCTGGACTATTGTTAGACTATTTAGACTATTTGTTGGCCTGTGTTATTTAACCCTAAATAACAAATACATACAAATAAAATTGTAATAAATAAGTATAAAAATAATCGTTTCATCACCCCTAGAGATTAATTTTAAATATTTATTCCTGTTAGGGAACTCTTAATCCCCAAACAAATGAAAAGTTGTTTTTTTTCGAGAAAATGATTAAAAACTTTGCCAATTATATACATTTCTGTTCACTCAGCATAATTCACGTACATGTAAATAAAACTGACTTTAATGTCTGCTTAGAAAACTTAACACTTAAACCTAAAGAAAAAAAGAAACCAACAAGTATCACACATTTTTATGGGCTTGGCATCATGTACTCCTAGTTTAACATCATATTGGCCAATGTTCACATCAACACCATAACCAGACAGACGGACATTTGAACGGGCAAGACTTCGAGACAGACAGACAGACAGACAGTCAAAGAAACCACCGCTCAAATAAGCAATTGCTGCAGACATTAAACATAAATCAAAACAGGTGAATCTAATATGAATAAAAAAACAAACAAACATATCAACAACATACAACGAATTGCTACCGCATTGTTGGAGGTGATGTGAAAGGAATGTACTTTACTATATTTATATAGTCAAACACTGACAGAAATAATTGTTTAAACCAGTGTTAAACAAAAACCTGCGCACAGAGCGAAATTCAAAAATCTATTTTTTTTGCTTCTATATACATGATCAAACTATAGACTAGACTATAGATTAGACTATAGACTAGACTATAGACTAGAATATAGACTTGACTATAGACTAGATATAGACTACATTATATACCATACTATGGACTGCACTATAGACTAGACTATGGACTAGAATATAGACTAGATTATAAACTAGACTATATACTAGACTATAGACTAGACTATAGACTAGACTATAGACTAGACTATAACTAGACTATAGACTAGACTAAGCTATAGACTAAACTATAGACTAGATTATAGACCAGACTATAGACTAGACTATAGACTAGCCTATAAACTAGCCTATAGACTAGACAATAGTTTAAACTATAGGCTAGACTATAGACTAGACTAGAGACTAGACTACTATAGACCAGCTATATACTAGACTATAGACTAGACTATAGACTAGACTATAGACTAGACTATAGACTAGACTATAGAATAGACTATAGACTAGACTAGCTAGACTATAGACAAGACTATAGACAAGACTATAGACTAGACTATAGACTAGACTATAGACTAGACTATAGACTAGACTATAGACTAGACTATAGACTAGACTATAGACTAGACTATAGACTAGACTATAGACTAGACTATAGACTAGACTATAGACTAGACTATAGACTAGACTATAGACTAGACTATAGACTAGACTATAGACTAGACTATAGACTAGACTATAGACTAGACTATAGACTAGACTATAGACTAGACTGTAGACTAGACTATAGACTAGACTATAGACTAGACTATAGACTAGACTATAGACTAGACTAGACTATAGACTAGACTAGACTAGACTAGACTAGACTAGACTATAGACTAGACTATAGACTAGACTATAGACTAGACATAGAATAGACTATAGACTAGACTATAGACTAGACATAGAATAGACTATAGACTAGATTATAGACTAGACCATAGACTAGATTATAGACTAGATTATAGACCTAGACTATAGACTAGACTATAGACTAGACTATAGACTAGACTATAGACTAGACTATAGACTAGACTATAGACTAGACTATAGACTAGACTATAGACTAGACTATAGACTAGACTATAGACTAGACTATAGACTAGACTATAGACTAGACTATAGACTAGACTATAGACTAGACTATAGACTAGACTATAGACTAGACTATAGACTAGACTATAGACTAGACTATAGACTAGACTATAGACTAGACTATAGACTAGACTATAGACTAGACTATAGACTAGACTATAGACTAGACTATAGACTAGACTATAGACTAGACTATAGACTAGACTATAGACTAGACTATAGACTAGACTATAGACTAGACTATAGACTAGACTATAGACTAGACTATAGACTAGACTATAGACTAGACTATAGACTAGACTATAGACTAGACTATAGACTAGACTATAGACTAGACTATAGACTAGACTATAGACTAGACTATAGACTAGACTATAGACTAGACTATAGACTAGACTATAGACTAGACTATAGACTAGACTATAGACTAGACTATAGACTAGACTATAGACTAGACTATAGACTAGACTATAGACTAGACTATAGACTAGACTATAGACTAGACTATAGACTAGACTATAGACTAGACTATAGACTAGACTATAGACTAGACTATAGACTAGACTATAGACTAGACTATAGACTAGACTATAGACTAGACTATAGACTAGACTATAGACTAGACTATAGACTAGACTATAGACTAGACTATAGACTAGACTATAGACTAGACTATAGACTAGACTATAGACTAGACTATAGACTAGACTATAGACTAGACTATAGACTAGACTATAGACTAGACTATAGACTAGACTATAGACTAGACTATAGACTAGACTATAGACTAGACTATAGACTAGACTATAGACTAGACTATAGACTAGACTATAGACTAGACTATAGACTAGACTATAGACTAGACTATAGACTAGACTATAGACTAGACTATAGACTAGACTATAGACTAGACATAGACTAGACTATAGACTAGACTATAGACTAGACTATAGACTAGACTATAGACTAGACTATAGACTAGACTATAGACTAGACTATAGACTAGACTATAGACTAGACTATAGACTAGACTATAGACTAGACTATAGGACTAGACTAACTAGACTATACTAGACTATAGACTAGACTATAGACTAGACTATAGACTAGACTATAGACTAGACTATAGACTAGACTATAGACTAGACTATAGACTAGACTATACTAGACTATAGACTAGACTATAGACTAGACTATAGACTAGACTATAGACTAGACTATAGACTAGACTATAGACTAGACTATAGACTAGACTATAGACTAGACTATAGACTAGACTATAGACTAGACTATAGACTAGACTATAGACTAGACTATAGACTAGACTATAGACTAGACTATAGACTAGACTATAGACTAGACTATAGACTAGACTATAGACTAGATATAGACTAGACTATAGACTAGACTATAGACTAGACTATAGACTAGACTATAGACTAGACTATAGACTAGACTATAGACTAGACTATAGACTAGACTATAGACTAGACTATAGACTAGACTATAGACTAGACTATAGACTAGACTATAGACTAGACTATAGACTAGACTATAGACTAGACTATAGACTAGACTATAGACTAGACTATAGACTAGACTATAGACTAGACTATAGACTAGACTATAGACTAGACTATAGACTAGACTATAGACTAGACTATAGACTAGACTATAGACTAGACTATAGACTAGACTATAGACTAGACTATAGACTAGACTATAGACTAGAATAGACTAGACTATAGACTAGACTATAGACTAGACTATAGACTAGACTATAGACTAGACTATAGACTAGACTATAGACTAGACTATACCAGACTATAGACTAGACTATATACTAGACTATAGACTAGACTATAGACTAGACTATAGACTAGACTATATACTAGACTATAGAATAGACTATAGACTAGACTATAGACTAGACTATAGACAAGACTATAGACAAGACTATAGACTAGACTATAGACTAGACTATAGACTAGACTATAGACTAGACTATAGACTAGACTATAGACTAGACTATAGA